GATCGATGCCGCAGCCATCGTGAGGGTTTCAGCTGCTGCGAGTCCCGTGCTCCAAATGTCGTCCCATGCCCAGCCAGCCCAGCCAGCCCACATCCTTCCACCAGCTTCCCTGGTCGTCCGTGCGTACGCTCCCTGACTCCAGCCACCGGGCATTCTCTTTGTCGCCCGAGCGAGCCCAAAAGCTTAATTGTCTGGCGACTTTTCCATGGTCTTGCCCACAAGCGCACGTCAAAAGGCTGACTCGGACAGCGAGCTCGAACGTTTTGTGCTCAGGGTCGTGTCAAACCGCGCGATGTAGCGGTACCGAGGAATATGCTTTTCTTTTCTTCATTTTTGTTTGCGTCCGGCTCTGACAAGTCGTGTTGTCCTGCCACTCGGACTATATACTATATGTGTGCGGCAACTATATCCGTCATCGTCTTATCAAGACATCCGTCCCATCCAGCGGGTCTGTCGGCCCCGCCATCCAGCTGCAGACATCATTTACCGCAGTCACTTGCGAGCTTCCAACCAGACCATCCGTGCGATGGACGCACACAGCCCTGTTACAGTACAGTACTTACATGTCAACCTACATTATGCCGTCCCTCTGCTGGATCGCTTCCGTCCATGCACGAGCGCTTGGCAACATGGAGTCGGGTCAAGTTCATGGGAGGACAACCCCTTTCTGTCGGCCGCACTAGTAATGCATGCTCCGCTACCCCGCACCAGACCCTGACAAGACCGGTTTGGCCCCCCTGCCGAACGAGCCCTGCCATGGGAAGCTTGATGACAAACACGGTCCAAGAGAACTTGCTTACTTGCATGATCAAGGCGTGCGATAACCGCGGATACATCGACATGACATGTATGGAAGATGCGCAAGTTTACTAGTACCATGGCGAGGAATCATGCCATCCCGAGCTGCAACCGTCGACTCGGGGAAGAACATGACGCTGCCGCCAGCCGGCTGAACCACACCAAAAAAAACATATCCTAAAGTCCGAACACTTGAACCCGCGTCGCCCTAGACCAGTCCGCCCCCTTCGTCAGCACCTTTAGTGCCCCTCGACCTGCCGCACGACCCTGCTGACCGCCTCGTCGAGCGACTCGGCCTCGACGGCGCCGACCAGCTCCATGTTTCCGCCGACCTTGGCGCCGTAGTCGCCGCCGAAGCCGTCGCGCAGGTGCAGCGCGAAGAACTTGCGCATCATGCCGCCCACCCCGCCCTGCGCGTCCGCGTCCCCGCACTCCTGCTCCCCGTCCAGCAGCTCGACCTGCCAGTCCGCCTCGGGCGTCGTCGTCGACGTGGCGCGCTGCAGGCTCGCCAGGAACTCGCGCTGGGTGGTGCGGAACGAGCGCGCGTAGAAGGGCGCGTTGCGGAACCGCGCGAGCTCCGCGTCGGGCAGGGAGAGCAGCCCCGCCGTCGCGCGGCCGACGGTGCCGATCGTCGTCGTGATGAACTTTACGTCGCCGCCGTCGATGAGCCGCGCCGTGCGCTTCTTGATGTCGAAGCCCCACTGTCTTTTTGTGGTTAGCTTGCTGCTTTTGATGTGGGCAAAAAAAGTCATGTGGCATGAGTGGGAGGGGGGGGTGGGGGCGTCACTCACGCTGCCGTTCACCAGGTTGTACTCGAGCCAGGGGTTCGTCACGACGGCGATCCACGTCATGCCCAGGGACTCGATCAGGTCGCGCGGCCGCTTCTTGGCCTGCAGCAGGGGGGTCTGCTCCAGCAGCGGCGTCGGCTCCGTGTCGCTGCCGAACTCGGTGGGCAGCACGACCTTGACCCCCGCGCGCGCCGCCGCCCGGATCAGCGGCTCCTGCTGCTCCATGGACGTGAAGCCCAGCAGCAGCACCAGCGCGTCCTGCCCGGCCAGCGCCTCGGCCAGGAACTCCGCGTCCGAGTAGGAGCCGCGCTCGACCCGGGCCACGCCAGCCGGGAAGGTGGCGCTGCTGTCGGGCCGTGTGATGACGGTGACGGTGTGGATTCCCTCGGCCAGCAGCGCCGCTACCGTCGGGTCGCCGACGTTGCCCGAGGCGCCGACGATGGCGATCTTGCGGCCCTGCTTGGGGGAGGTGGCGGCGGCCATGGCTTCGGCACTGGAGTCGGGTTTGGGTTCGTGCAAGGTTTGGTGACGCAATCTATCAGATGGGGAAACAAAACCTCGACGGATGTGGTCAAGGTAAACAAAGCAACCAAGAAAAGGGGGTGTGTTTGAGATAAGCGTTCGTCCAAAGTTGGAGTGTTTGCTGTCCTATAATAATAGCCTTTCAAACGACCTGTCAAAACATGCGACTCTCCGCCCGTTATTTATATTTCGGAACCTCATGCGCTCGGTATCTGCCAGAACCTTGCCCATCCCTTATTTCCTCAATCGCCGTCCGGGCCTTCCATCGGATCGGAGCAGTAGCCCATCGTGATGACCATCTCGTCGGGCTTGGTAAGCTCCGATCGGCCGGGCGATGCACTCCTAGATCGGGTAAGCAGCTGCCCGCATGCAATATGGCCCAGGAGGCTGTGTTGATTTGCTAGCAATCCATCCTTTCCCAGCCTTGAATCCGCCTCGAAACTAAGAGGATGTCATTTCGTCTAGGTGAGATTTCTAAGCATCTCCCGGCTCGGGCCCGACTAGCCAATGAGGATTGGGAAATGCCCGAGATCCTAGATGGGGAATGCAATCCCTCTCGGAAACGAAGATGCAAGACAGTCTACGGATTGAATTACCAATATTCCAGTCTAGGCCTACTGCTAGTGTAGACGGTCAGCAAAATTCTGCATGTGGTTCAAACGTGCACCAAGCCAAGATCAGGGGCTCAGGGGACTTTCCCAGGAAAGGGGCTGTCAGCCAGTCGGCAGCGTGTTAGAGCGCATCACGTTGATAGCCATCTCGGGGAATGGAAAATCGAGCTGGTTTGGAATATGCAAGAGAGTTCTCGAGGTTATTCTAATTAGAAATCTAGATTAGAGCAAGCATACGATGGCTATGAGCTCGTCCCACGTCTCCTATCCACTCTCCTTCCGTTCCCCAGAGGAGCCACGCTACCACGAGCCCTCAGTATCCCCTTGGCCGACATTCACACGACCTCCTGGCTCCGTCCTAGGCGCCGATGGCGCGTCGTCGGGCCCCATGACGAAGCTCTGCAGCCCATCCAGGAGTCCCCCCAGCGCCGCGGCCTGCTCCCGGCCCGCCACCCTGGCCGCCTCCCGCTCGCCGCCCCTCAGCCGTGACGCCTCGCGCCACGTCTCTGCCAGGAACCGCTCGCCGGCGCCGGCGGTCCCGAGCCACGCGAGCTTGGCAACAACCTCCCGCGCCACGTCCCACTGCGCGAGGCCGGCCGCGGCGGAGCGGTCCATCCACCGCTCCACGAGGGGGTCGAACCAGCCTTGGACCTCGGCGATGCCGTCGTTGCTGCCATCTGGGCCGGAGGACCCTAGTGGTGGTGATGATGGTATTGCCGCCCCGCCGAGGAGCACGTATGCGCCGATGACGGTCCGCCAGAGCCAGAACTGCATCCACGACTCGGCGGGGGTCAACGGCGGCGGCGGCGGCGGCGGCGGTGGCAGAGGCGGGCTTCCCTGCAGCCAGGCCACGAGGCGGGGCTCGACGACCCATGTGGCCCAGTTCATCTCGTAGATGACGTGCATGAGTAGGTACGCGGCAGTCATCCACGCTGCCGCGGGGATTGGGTGCGTCAGGGAGGAGTAGGTGGACGACGATGCGATGCCGCCGCCACAGTCGCATTCGGGTGAAGAGAGATGGGTGATCCCAAAGTAGTTTGGGATCATGTTGGCCGGGTCGCCGCCCTGGACAAGGAAGATTGGCGTTGCGGGCACAACCCCGAACGCCTCCTTTGGGTTCGGTGCGGATGTGGCAGCGTTGCGGGCTGCTGCAATAAGTGAAGCAATGCTATTTTTTGCAAGACTCTCCTAGTTAGGTATCTGTTGAAGGAAAAGGAAGTCTGATGGGATGATGTGTATGCCATGTGGAAACTTACACAAGCATCACCCGCGGCACCATCGGTGGCACCGTCTTTCCCTGCACTTGGACGAGACCAAAGAGTCCGCGCATGTGAGCGGCTCCGGCCTCGTCCTCCCCCATGGCGGTATCCGAAAGGGCCAGGCGAAGGGTCGAGGTTATGGATGTGTCATATAATTCCGGGCGCCCCTCGTCGATGAGCTGCTGGAGGATCCGCATCTTCTCGATCTTGTGGTAGAGGTAAGTCTCCTCCACGGGCTTTACGGAGCCGCCGAGCCACGAAGCGTGCACGCACGTGCACGTGATGATGCTGTGAATCTTGAGGGAGTCCAGGGATCCGTTGAAGCTATGAGCAAGCAGGGCTTGCTGTGTCAGTACGATGTGCTTGCTGTTGGGGTCAAGTTGGAGGTTAGGAAACCCACATTTGTACAGGGCTCTGGAAGAACGGGATCATACTGGAGGCCAGATGGCGGTAGTCGATGTCTAACGCTCATAGGCGTAAGTGTTTGCTGCATGACATACAGCGGATACGTATAAAAAGGGGCGGTTGGATCGTCTATTCTCTCGACTCACGGTGTTGAAGCATCTCATACGATTTGCAGGGCATATCGACTGGAAGACTGCTGAAAGGCCCGACGGGAGGGGCAGACGGTAGGAGCCACGGCGACGGTGTGCCTGCCAAGTTGCTTGTAGATGCTGCGGGACTCCCGGGGTTCACCGGTGAGTTCGTGGCCCGAGTCGGGGATCTCGACACGGTTAGATGCCCGCTGACTGTCGAGACGGCGGCGGAGCCCACGGGGTATTGGCACTCTGTGCCCCTGACCAAGCAGGATGTGCTAGTAAAGCCTGTTTTAGCCTCCGTTGTTCTCTTTTTGCCAGAGGTCAGTAGTACGTTTGAGTGCTAACGTGAAGACGTACCATACTGGCTTCTCGAGCGAGCAGCGAACGTGCTTTTTCTTGCACTCGGCGCAGCCGTTCCGTGTCCGCTTATGAGGAGCACGCGTTCGACGCGTGTGCTGAGGTGTTGGGTCGAGATACTGGGGCGCCATGATTCCGCTTGGCTATGCCAGGGGCGTAATTGGTGCCCTTGCGTAGTCGAGTCCGGGTAGGAGATACCATTGCCTCCAGGCATCGGGTGAGTTTCGCCATTTTATTCTCGACACCTCCTTCATGACGTGGACCCCAAAGCTGAAAGGTGCCTCGGATGTAATGACGAGGATTGGCTTGCCACTGCTTGATGATATGGAGGAAAATATGGATACGCGACCGAAAATGTGCCTGGTTTGGGAAGTTGGGGTTGATGGTGGAGATGCCGATGGGCCATTGTATAGACCAAATGCAAGCCCTCGCATCTCCAAACGCAAATCCCGGAGCGATTGCCTCTTGCCTCCCCCTGCCAGGCAACTAGTACATAGAGCTAGGCAGGCCACGTAGGTAAGCATGTGGCTCGGAGAGGGCGAGCCCGAAGGAGTGCCGCCATGATAGGCTGATGCATCGGGGCTGTTGGTGTAGCAATCAATGATACAATGCAGCCCTGTGGATTTGTCTGTGGGGCGGCGAGCTGAAGCTTAACTGGATTCCATATCAAGCTCATGTTGTGTTGCCCGGCGTCTGACAGTGGGGGCGACTCACTGGTTGGCATTGCATGGCTTCCTGCAGGCTAGCCCTACGAACACGAGAACACGCAGTGTGAGCATTGACGAACCTCTCTTTTATGTGCAGACTATGTGATGATGCAACCCCGATTTGCATGTTGATGCTCTTTTGGGACCGGTCCGCGCCATGCTGACAACTTACATACATGTGCTATGTAGGTCGTTACCTGCTCGCGACTTCGTAGTTTCGTAGGGGGACCGACAAGCCACTCGGCAACCGCGTTCGTCTCCCGACCCTCCTAAGAACCCATATATGGGTGTCTCCCCTTCGGCATCATGTTGGCAATTTCAACCGCATATACTCTCCATCATACTCGCTCGGCTGCGTTTCAGCTCGTGCCCTAGGAGGCCGCCAGCTTACTGACGAGGCAGATTTGTGGGGAAACCCTCCGGACCCCGTTCAACAAAGCCCGATTCTCGCCCTCTCTTGGCATTGAACACAAAGAACGAGCCCGTTTTTAGCCGACAGTATGGCACCAGGCTCACCAGGGGCTTTGTCTCGGGTATTCTATAGGGGGCGCGCTTATTAGTTGCATCCCACCGTCAGCGCTACCAGGCACACCTGCGGCGGCAAATGGCAGGCTTCGTCGTGATAAGGGAGCATGCCTTATGTCAGACATTCAGCCCCAATTCCATAACCCGATATCTTTGTGCTACCAGTATTTCGATGTGCTTTTTTGAACTCGGAGGCATTGGTGGAAGCAGAAGATGGCAACTTCATTGATGAAACCACTTATCGGCTTAAGAAATCGCGAATGGGAAAACTACCCCAGGTTGCTGGTTGTGGGCCCGCCGCAAGATTGACTGTTTGGCGAAGCTGAAGATAAGCCGACAGGAGCTGGCAGGTTTTCGCTTCATGGAGATGCTAGGCTGGATCCAGTGTTTTATGTGGCCCAACAGCCACCTCGGCAACTCTTCCACCGAAGCGGGCCCATTGGCCGATCTCGGGGTGTTGGAGGTGACGCGGGGGCGGGACCGTTGAAGCTCAAAGCTTGGGGTTTCCATACGTGGGGCTTCGACGGGCAGAAACACTGACCCGTCGGTTGGGGGGTCTCGACCTGACTCGAAGCCTCTCCTCACTCCAGACCTCAGCTTCTTTTCCCCTCGACATCGAGTTTCTCCCCCAGCATCGACCGCTCACACGGTAACGGCACCATCTACACAAGCAAGATTGTGTCACCTCCCCCAGCAACAGCTAGCCCACCATGAAGCTCCTCTACCCGACGTCGCTCAGGCTCGACGTGCCGAGCCTCGAGGGCTTTGGCGTCAGCCTGCACCCGTACGACGTCAAGAAGCACATCCCGGAGGAGCTGGTCGACGCCGAGGTGCTCATCACCTGGACCAACACGGCCGACAACCTCAAGGACGCCGTCAAGCGCCTCACCAAGCTGCGCTGGATCCAGTCCCTGGCCGCGGGGCCCAACGACGTCCTGGGCGCCGGCTTCGACCCGGCAAAGATCAAGATCACCACGGGCTCGGGCCTGCACGACCACACCGTCGCCGAGCACGCCCTGGGCCTGCTTCTGCTCGCCGCCCGCCGCTTCGACGAGATGCGCGACTACCAGCTCAAGCGCCAGTGGCCCGGCCACCTGGGCGGACCCCAGCCCGACCGCCCGGCCGACCGCTTCACTAGCTTGCGCGGCGCCAACGTGGTCGTCTGGGGCTTCGGCAACATCGCAAAGACCCTGACGCCCCTGCTGGTCGGGCTCGGCGCCAAGGTCACGGGCGTCGCCCGCAGCGCCGGCGTGCGCGACGGCGTCGAGGTCTACGGCGAGGATAAGCTGCCCGAGCTGCTGCCGCGCGCCGACGCCCTCGTCATGATCCTGCCCGGCTCCGACTCGACCCGCCACGCGCTCAACGCCGACCGCCTGCGCCTGCTGCCCAGGCACGCCTGGCTCGTCAACGTCGGCAGGGGCACGTCGGTCGACGAGGACGCGCTCGTGGCCGCGCTCAAGAAGGGCGAGCTCGGCGGTGCCGCCCTCGACGTCTTCGAGACGGAGCCCCTGCCCGAGCCGTCGCCGCTGTGGGACGCCCCCAACGTCTTTGTCAGCCCCCACGCCGCCGGCGGCAGGCCGCAGGGCGCCGAGGACCTGATTGCCTACAACCTGCGCCGCTTCCTTGCTGGCCAGGATCTCAAGAACATTATATAGTTGTATGATTGTGTATATACGTAGCAAAAATGGGTGGTGAGGAGATAAAAATTGAAAGTGATACATCTGTCGTCTCTTGCTAGCAGACACAAAGTAGTTCAACGAGCGATGTGAGTAAACACCGTCCAAGGCCATCTTCTTTGTTGGCTGTAACTTGCATGTGGAATCTTGCCTTGAATGATTCCATCTGCTGCATGTTCGATTACTGAGCCGTGCTCAACCCGGGCAACAGGTGGCCGAGTTCGGGGTTTGATGGTTTTCGGCCTAATGCCGACCTGCATATTCCTGGCGGCCGGTGAAATACGGGTGCTCTACTCCAGGGGCAAATTCTAGACACAACTGCAAGCCACTACCACACCAACAACACGACAGCCCATGAAGACGCGCATGAATACCACCCTCATCGAGTCGCGCGTATCCCATGAGTTGACCGAGCAATATCCCATTGTCTCAGTCATATACTTCATATATCACACCAGGCAGCATGGCTGTGGGCATTACTGAGCAGCGCTTTTACCATGACAGCTTCCACAAAAATGTGCGTCTGAAGGACGACGGGTATAAAATGGAAAGGACTACCATGGATCGAAGCAGCACGCCAGGATTGCCAAAGCCAACCTTCCCAAATCGCAGAGGCTCCTTACCCTAAATCTGAATCCCGAAAAGCCATACCCACCCAAACCACCATGTCTTCGGCCTCCTCCCCAGACCACTACGACTTCATCTCCCTCGGCTCCGGCGAGGGCGGCAAGTTCACGGCCTGGACGCTCGCGCGCGACCAGGGCAAGAGGTGCGCCGTCATCGAGCGCCAGTGGGTCGGGGGCTCCTGCCCCAACGTGGCCTGCCTCCCGTCCAAGAACTACGTGCGGTCGGGCAAGGTGGCGCATGAGCTGAGCCTGGGCGCGTCCTACGGCCTCGGCGCCTACACCGCCGCCGCCGCCGGGCAGGTGCGTGCCTCAATGGCCGAGGTCAAGGCGCGCAAGACGACCATGGTGCAGGGTATGGTCGACCTGCACATGAACATGTTTCGCGACACGGGCGTGGAGCTCATCCGGGGCACGGGGCGGTTCGTAGGCCCAAAGAAGATCCAGATCGACGGCGGCAGGGTCGTCACGGCGGACTCGATCGTCATCTGCACCGGGTCGACCTCCAAGGTCGACGGCGGGGTTCCGGGTCTGGTGGAGGCGCAGCCGCTGACGCACGTCGGCATCCTCGACCTCGACCATCTCCCGCTGCACCTACTCGTGCTGGGCGGCGGCTACATCGGGCTGGAGTTCGCCCAGACGTTCCGGCGGCTCGGGTCCGATGTGACGCTGGTCGAGCACAACGCACAGATCATCAAGCGCGAGGACCCAGATGTTGCCGAGGCGCTGGCGGGGGTGCTCGCAGCCGAGGGGGTCAAGATACTCACCTCTGCGAGCGTGATTCGGGTCACGGGCAGGTCGGGGGACTCGGTTACGGTGACGGTGGACCAGCAAGGGAAACGGCACACCATCACGGCGTCGCACATGCTCGTGGCGACGGGGCGGACGCCCAACACGGCCGACATCGGACTCGAGACAGCCGGTGTCGAGCTCGCAGGCGGTGGCGGGGCGGGCCACGTCAAGGTCGACGCACAGCTGCGCACCACGGCGGACGGTGTCTTCGCGGTCGGCGACTGCGCCGGCAGCCCGCACTTCACGCACATGGGTTTCGACGACTTCCGCGTCGTGCACGACCAGCTCTCTAACGTCGTCGAGGCCCGGCGGCGGGCCGGCGGCGTGGCGGGGCGGCAGGTGCCGTCGACGCTGTTCACGTCGCCCGAGCTGGCGCAGGTGGGGCTGCGGGAGCGCGAGGCGCGCGAGAGGGGGGTGGCGGTCCGCGTGGCGAGGCTGCCCATGGCGGCGTTCCTGCGCGCGCGCACCCTTGGCGGCGGTGCGGCGGCCGTGGGGTTCGCAAAGGTGCTGGTCGAGGCTGACGGCGATGGGATTCTGGGGTTCGCGGCGCTGGGGCCGTCGGCGGGCGAGATGCTGCCCGTCGTGCAGCTGGCTATGAGGCTGGGGGCGCCGTATACAGAGATCGCGAACCTGATCGTGGTCCACCCGACCATGTGCGAGGGTCTGGTGCAGCTTTTTGCGTCGGTGCCGGCCCGGAAATAGCGGCGAGGTGTGGAATCTGGTGTTGGATAACTGCCCGATACTTTGTCATCCATCTGCCTGCACATGGCCAACTCTACCTGTGTCCGAAGTTGTCATGGTTTGGCCAGGGTCTCGTGTAAATTGACAAGCCAGCCTTGAGCCTTGGAGAAGCTCTTTCTTTGTAACAACCAACTCTCATTCCCATTGGAGTTTCTGTAGATAGATGCCGATGGGAAGGGTCGAAGGCGAAAGTTGACACGTGTATATCTTAAGAGCTGGATGAGAGGCGAAACAAATATGCTAATGGATGGCAGCTTTGTTCAGCGGCTGGTGATGTAATCAATCAGACCTGAGCTCTTTCACGCCAGCAACGAGTCATTGTGGCGTGTGGGGCGTCGTTTTTAGAACACTCCGGAATGGACCCACCATACAAGCCCCTGAATTAGCTTGTCGGCAGACCCTGACCCTGTTCGCGACGGACCGTTGGCCAGACCTCTGGGCCCCTCCAAGACGGACGACATGAGCTGATTCTGGCCGTCTTGCCATCAGCAACCACCGAGATCAATCGTCTTGCACCCTCTTTTCCCACCTATATATCCGCCGACGCTAGCTGGTGCCTCTCCTGCTCGTCCGCCAAGCCCAGTCCGTCGCACAACGCGCAGCTGTCCGACCTCGCCGACCCTGTCACAGGCTAAACACCACCGTCAGCCTCGTGAAGATAGCGACCCCCTAGACATACACGCGCCATGGCACGACGTCAACACCTGACCTTGGTGGTCGCCTTCTCCATCGTCGCATTCCTTACGTTTACGTACATGCTGTCGTCATCCGGCAGCCGCCTGCCCAACACACCAGCGGTCTCTCTGGGGCAGCCGCCGTCCGGGAAGCAGTCCGTCCCCGACCAAGATGCGAGCAAACCGAACCTGGCAATATCCCCCGACATCCTCACCGGAGGCTCCATTGCGCCCAAGCTGGAGAACGCAACACTAAAGTAATTCAGCACTCCTGGGGCTCTGTGTCAGACCTAGAATCACACTGCTAACTCGTCCCTCCCTACCACCAGAGCCGAGCTCGGGCGCGCGTCCTGGAAGCTCTTCCACACAATGATGGCGCGGTTCCCCGAGAAGCCGAGCGAGGACGACAGCCTGGCGCTCAAGACGTACATCCAGCTGTTCGCGCGCCTGTACCCCTGCGGCGACTGCGCCTCGCACTTCCAGAAGATGCTCAAGCAGTACCCGCCCCAGACCTCGTCGCGCAACGCCGCCGCCGGCTGGGCCTGCTTCGTCCACAACCAGGTCAACCAGAGGCTGAAGAAGAAGGAGTTTGACTGCGCAAAGATTGGCGACTTTTACGACTGTGGCTGCGGCGACGACAAGGGCAAGAAGAAGGACGCGAGGTCCGCAGGGGACGGGACGGGCCTGACACTGGAGAAGGAAGGGTGAGTCCGCGTGACATTATTATGAGACCCGATCATTCTCATTCAGAGAAGGAAGCTGATATGGTTCACAACCAATAACCAGGCTTACCCGCGGAGGTTGATACGCTTTCCTGGTGCACCCCGCCACGTTACTGGAATCTCATCGTATATATTTGCATAGGTGTTGGAGCTTGGCGCATACGCTGTGTTTTTCTGGTTCGCTTTCATTATCTTACTGATTCTCTCTAGACTCTGTGGGTTGCGAGCGGTTTGCCAAAGTATAAGCAGCAATATATCTTGTATGGAAAGGACATGTCCCATCAGGGAGTGCACAGGTACCGGCGCGCCTCAACCCCCCTCGCAACACAAGCCCGCCCACCTTACCTCTGATCCCCTTCGTGTCCTTGCTATCAAGTCAGTGTTACTTGAGTCAGCACGCCATGCTCAATATGAGAGTCCTCGACAGCCACCCGCGATGTCATTGGGCTCATCCGTCCCACCATACAGCAGCCGATCCCCGCCACCATTGATACTTTGCTACATCTTTATACTGCTACCTAGGATTTGCTATACCCAAGAGCGCGCAGGCGTAGCAATAAGGTACCCATCTAGGCTGTTTACTTGCTCCCAGTTCCCCAGTCTCCTGCTCTTTCACACATTATCCCCCGTGCGCCAGGGCAGCAGACCCGACAGCAACAAACAATTCGAATAGGGCCGGCAACGAACGCAACGACTCCAGAACTCTATGGCTGAACAAGGCACCTCGGGGTTCCGTTTACACTTCGAGCGGGTGTAAAGCGCGGTTGCGTGTGTCCAAGGCAATGCTCGAGTTTCAATTGTGTCTGCAGTGCTGCAATCCCGCGGTTGCGAGATCTTATTCTTGGAATCACTGCCTGATCTCCTCCATATAGGTAGCAAACTTTGGAGCGAAGATTCTGCCTTGAACGAGCTGGCTGGCAGATTCTACTACCCAGGCCTGGCAGTCTCTCTGAGCGACCCTCTTGCTGGTCGCGGGCTGAGTCGGGCTGGGTGCCCAAGTACATATTAATGGGAAAGGGAATAGGATTTCGACAGCTTACAGTATCGGTAATCGAGTTCAGCGACGTTTCCGGAACTTTGAATTTGGTAGCGCTGGCTTCGAACGGGC